AAAAAAAAAAAAAAAAAAAAAAAAAAAAAAAAAAAAAAAAAAAGAAAAGAAAAAAAAAAGGAAATACCAAGGTTAGTGGAGAGAACATAGGCTTTGGAATCTAAGCAGAATGTATTTGTGATAATTGCTTATTATTACTATTATTATTGTTGACCCTTTTAACCAACTAATCTAGATATGACTCAGACAGACATAAGTCACCCTATCTACTAGAAGGGAACATTACTTTCAGTGGTAGGTGAGTGTCCAGGTAAATAACTTGGTCTCGCGTGCACATCTAGGCTAAGCCCACAGCAAGACTCAATCAGCTTTTTCCTTTTTGCAATGGGAATCTGCCTAGACGCCCAGGCTGTCTTAAACCTGTATAATCAATCCCTCATCTGGGCCTCCCAAGTAGTTGGGACGAGAGAGGTGCAGATCACCAGGCCAGCTAAATTTATTATCTAGACTGGACTAAAGCCACCTACATGTCACTGTTATACCGGGCCAATTTCACTATCCATATAAATAATCCATCACATTTTCAGTTTCTCAGGTTCCTTGATCTCAAACTCAGTGACCTCCAGAACCTCCACTGTGACCACACCCACACTTGTTACGCTTGTTCAACTTCATCAAGATTTGTGCCTGTTTATTTTTGAGACGAGTCTACCGTGTAGTTTAGGCAGGCCTCAAATTCTCAATGATCCTCCTGAGTGCACCACCAGGCCAAGCTGAGATACCTATTCTTTATTTTCTCTAACTGTTCAGTCTCTTCTACTCAATTATTTATCAATTCTAGAATTCCTGTATTTGATATATTATTTAAACTACTATTAAAAAATCAATACCCTCATTCTCTTTTCCTTCTCTCCCTAATCTAGCCTTCTCGCATGTACACTCAATAAAAATCTTAACTTGGACTGACCTAACTGAATGCTTTTACCAAACTTTATTTCTGCTGTTTGGTTTTGCCAAAGAAAAAACTATACCAAAAAGATCGAGGAGCTACTCCTATAATCTTAGCACTTGGGGTCTGAGGCAGGAGGACTGAAACAAGTTCAACATAGCGAGACTCTGTAACAACAACTGAAACCATCTAAACTGATAATCATTTTTCAACTGCCCACCCCCCATTTTTTTCTGCCCCCTGGTACAGAGAATTGAACTCACAACCTTGCACTTTCCAGGTAGGTTCAGTGTCACTGAGCTACATCCCAGCCCATGGCCTCCCAATGTTATGCAGTAGTCCTTTAGAATGTCTTTAATCAGATGTAAGAGATACTTTCATTTTTGTTCCTTTGTGGTAGTGGGAATTGAACACAGGGCCTTTGACTGAGCTACCTCCCAGATCCTTTGTCGCTTTACTAGCTTTGGGGTTCTATGTATCACTGAACTATTCTCCATAGGACTTTCCTTTTTTGTAAAATGACAACCTCACAGGGTTATTTTATAAGAACTAAAAGAAACAGGGTACATAAAACATTGAGGACAGGACTCGGTATACAGAAAACAATGCTGATTTAGTCAGCACAATCACATGCTCCTATGGCACTGGCTCCCACCACCTATGATCAATGGCTCTGCGGAGAGCCAGCCTGGGAGTCCTGCCACCAGTCAATGCACATACCTACTTCTAAGTCTATGAGGTACTGTGAGCTTCATTACTTATATTCCCAAATTACCTTGGTCTTTTTCTTTCTGTTACTACTCTTGATATTGAGCTAGAATTTCAGCAAATCTTTACTCCTGAACTGACCCCTTTTAATAAATTTCCAAGTCCAGCCAATTTTGTTTCCAGCAGTCTCGAGTTTATGCTTCTTTTCTTCCTCCTCCTCCTCCTCCTCCTCCTACTGCTTCTAGCTGGGCTTCATGTCCTTTCATATGCGTTACTACCACACCACCTTTCTAACATTATACTAATCTAGGTTTGGTTCTCTCAAATCATCCTCTATATTGTCACTAATTCATATTCTTTCAAAGGACTTTTTTTATTTTTGGTACCAGGGATCAAACTCGGGTCCTTGCACTTGCAAGGCAGGCAGCAGAACCACTGAACAGAGGACTTTTTGAGATAAGAGTCTCAATATGTAGTTTCAGGCTCATCCTAAACTCACTTTGTAGCCCAGACTTGCTGCAATCCTCCCGCCTCAGCCTCCCAAGTGCTGGGATCATAGGTGTGTACCACCATGCCCAGGTAAAATTTATCTTCTAAAATGCAAACATTACCCATTTATTTCTCATGTAAATTTGTCAATGATTTCCCACTGTTCACTGGAAACAGCTGAAACACAGCCTCCTCTTATTATTTGCATCCTACTCACTCTTCCAGTCTCTTCTTTAATGAATTACTCAGTTCCCAGAAACCTTGCTTGTTCCTTTTCTTCCTTTCCCCATCAGAATTTTCTTTTTCTGTGACAACCCATCCTGAGTAATTATCAGTGTCTCTATTCATCCAAAATTTTAAATTTGATTCATGTCAGATTCTGACTGCCACCACTTTTATCTCTACATCTCTCCAGAGATACCCCAGACTTACTACTTCTCCCAGTGCAAATCCTTTACTTTAGTCACAGCACTGTACAAATTCAGGAAGTGCAGCAGTGGCAGAGGTAGTCTGGGAAGATGACTAAGGGAAGAGCAAACTGAGAAGGCCCATCTTGAATGCTTTTCAACATTCTCTGTAACATGTTTCACGCTTACTTGCGGATGGGAACCTTCGCCACTTTCTCCCTTACAGCTCCACCTCAGTGAATCCATCTGCAAGTCCTAGTTCCTTCCCCTTGTCTTGCTGCCTGTTTCAATAGGCTAATTCTCTTCCTTTCAAGTCTCAGCCTAAAGTATCCTGCTTTTTTTCCAAAAAGTATCCTGGTTCCACAAGACTGGGCTGTACTTAGGCCTTTTACTGCACAACTACACTCGTGTACTTGCTTCTGTCCCTTTTAGGTTATAAACTCCCCAAAGGCTGGCATCTGCCCTTATTTACTGCCACATCCTCAATGATTAATTCAGTGCCTGTTAGGTGCCCCATTAACATTAGTTAAGAAGAGAGAAGGAGAACCGGGCATGGTGGTGCACACCTGTGATCCCAGCACTCAGGAGGCTGAGGCAGGAAGATCACTGTGGGTTCGAGTCCAGCCTGGGCTACAAAGTGAGTTCCAGGGCAGTCTCAACTACACAGTGAGACCCTGTCTCAACCAACCAAAAAAAAAAAAAGACAGGA